AAGAAAATTCACACGCTACTTTTACCTCAAGTCATTAATTCGGTTTTCAAAATGCTATCAAACCAGGGTATCCCATTATTTTCTTGTAGGAAATAGGGAACAATATCTGCTTCCCTCACACTGAGCCACATCACTGTTCATTACCTTTCTGTAGATTAATAGAGAGTCTAACAAAGAAACAGCAGCAAAAAGCACAACGTAATTACACTACACCAAAGCAGGTTTAAATAGCTCATTGTCTGTGTACTTTCTAAGGCAAAATTTGAAATAGTGTGTTTGGTTCTTTTATAGAACCAAAAAAAAAAAAAAAAAAGGGAGACCACAAAGAATATTGCTAAGTAAAGAAATAACTGAGATTTGTAAAATTTAAATAAGGTCATCATACATTAGAATGTTTCCTTGAACTTAAGGGGTACATTAGCAACACAATGAATAACCACTCAATTGTGGTTTGTTCTGAAAGCAAAGCTGAGTTAAGCAACCCATCAAAACCCATAAAGAAACATAAAATAACAAGAGATGGCATGAGCAAGATCCTCATGACAGAAACAACATCACTTGAAATGCCTGGCAGTAAAAAGCTTGCAATGCCAAGGAGGTGGGTTCAAGTCATCAGCTGTTAGAATCTGTTCTTTCCAAGAACATTCAGCTCCTTTCTGCAAGGGAATTCCTCAAACAAATATCAAAACTATCTTGGTAAAGACTAGATTTAGACTTTGCAAGATGTTGCCTTGCAGTAGGAAAAGCTGTCTTCTTTTATAACTTTGCCTTTTCACTGCCTTGTTAACAACAGAAAATGGATTTCCGGTCTTTCTGTAATGCACCTGAGAACTCATTTCTAGAAGGGCAGCTGTAAATGAGGGAAATCTGTTAAAGTAGCATTCTTACAAACAGAATCCAATCTAGAGTCATTTTCCAAGCTGCGGTCAATATGTTCCTAAATTGGTTTATTAAGTTTACATTTCTTTTTGGAATAACTTACCAGTGAATAACATACAGAAAGAAAATGTTTACTTCATAAAGCCTCCAGAAATCAATGCTTTCGATTTTGAATCCGATGTTGTTACAGCCAAAAGGTCCATTATCCAGCACAAGAGTTTCGGGACTCTGTTTTTGCTTGGACATATATAAGTTGAGAAAACAACGTTCTCCACCTCCAAAACATCCTGGATATCTAAATATAAGCCTTATTTCTCATCACCCAACATTTGGAATTAATCAATACCGCTATGCATTACTGCAGTTTCAACAAACACTGAATATGCCAGACACCTTCTATTAGAAAGCACTGTACGTAAGAACAGCATTGAAGTAGCAAAACTCAGGAGGCTTCCATCAGGATTCAGGCACTCATCTCAATCTTCCTGACCTTTTGCCTTCCCCGAGTAGGCAGTGAAAACAAGGCATCCTCAGACAGTTCAGCCTCTATCAGAATCAAACCTCTTGGCACTGCACAGATGATAAGAACAGGGAAGGTGATACAGATATGAAATGTAAATAAGGCAGATGCTGCAGACTTATTAAGAAATGATTAAAAAACAGCTTTCGCTAGCTGTGCTGTTTCACTTCTCCTTATTCCATCTAGACTTAACTATGGAATCCAAGAAACATTTGAAAAATATGAACGTGGACATCGAGCTCGTTCATGACATTCCTCTTAACCAAGAACAGCATCGCTTCCCCAAAACAAAAAGACCAGGTTATCATTTATAAATTACAATACACAAGAAAACCACGTAATGTTTCCACTCAAAATCAACTGATTTTGCTTCAACAGCTGCAGATAAAGACACTGTCTGAATCTAAATCTGCAAACATGCATTGGGGAAGATGTTCTAAGAACAGGCATGCTTTCAACTCATGTAAGCAAACATGCCTGGCTGGGAAAGTCAATCAAATTTAAAATCTGGTGCTGTGGGAACACTGCATTTGTGCACAATGTACTGTACACATGCATAGAATGTGTAAAGTGAGACAGATTGCCTAAGTCACACATAACTGGGATGTTTTCATTCTTATCATTTCTCAAATTCGTTTAACAGCGTTCAACTCTGTGTTTCTGGATGTTACCCTGTAATATGTTCTTTGGGAACCTGTTCCAAATCAAGATCAAAAGACACTGGATTAAGAAGTATTAAAAGTAAATTACCCAAGCTCAACTCTTCCTAGAGGTTTATTTACAGAGCAATACGTTCTCCATTACATCTAAAACCTTCACACTTCATCGATACTACAATAAAGAGCAGATTACTACAGCCCAGAGGTGCACTCTTACAGAAAAGGGTCTCACAAAGCTCAGCAGAGGGAACACACCAGCACAAGCAGATCAACCACTGTTCTCCCCTCCATTACTATAAACTTCGGCTTGTTTTCTTCAACACAAATAGCATAAGTAGCAAGAAAAACGGGCAAAAAAGTTAAGTACACTTATGAAGAGCTGACATTATCAGCCATTTATCCCACCCACTGATATTATGGTATATTAAGAATACAATGCAAGAAGGGCATCTAATACTCCAAAAGAATAAGATCTATTTTCCATCATGTTTCAACAGATAAATGAATTTAAGGTTTCACATTTCCTTTCCTCATAACTTTGTAACATAGCAAAGAGAAAAGAGGATTTGCCTTCCTTGTGGCTCTTCCAGAACAGGACTCTTGGACTTAGAAAATCCAAAATTATTTGCTGTACAGAAGCAGACTCGTTAAGTCATTTTGCAACCAGTCCCACTAGAGACGTTTGCATGTGAATTTCAAGCTTTAACTGATGAAGACATAAGCATAGAAGAGAGTCTACTGGAAAAAGTCTACTGCAAACAAGACTGTCAATTTTCAAACAAGGCACATTTCAAGGTTTTTTTGGTTGTTTTTTTTTCTTTTTTTTGTGCATAAGGAGCTGCTTGCATTGTGTTTTCTATAAAAAGGAAAAATAAAATTAACAGACAAAACAGCAAGAAACTTGATGCTAAGTGGGATCTGAGAAAGGCAATTCTCTGAAGAGGACTATCCAGAAAAGTCATAAATGAGTGTTTTGAATCCCTGTGAAAAGGTTAGCATGCCATCACAGTGAAACATTCACAAAGACATAGTTTAAGTTGTCAGATAATACAATGGCACAGAAAGAAAAGAACGTTTTGTAGGAAAAGATAATAAGTATCTGAAAGATGATTATGCTGCAGAGTATAGTGAAAACCAGATCTAGCATCAGTTTCTTTACCACAGGTTTTCCAACTGATACTGCTACCTTTCTGCAAGGACAGCTCCATGAATATTTCAGAAGGAAAGGGCAAAGAGTTGACTGAAGTCTGTCTAAGCTGGTTTATTATTTCTGCTCTAAAAGACAAGTCTTTTGAAAGTACTTGAGAGCTTCAGAACGAGTTATTTTGATGTAACTAAGGCGTTAAAATGCTGTCATTAACTTAAAAATTGCTTCACTAGTTTGACTCCTACTTACAAATATAAAATCAGGTCCTGCCTTAATCAACAGAAATACATATCACAAATAGCAATTCACTGTGAATTATTTTAAGTCATATAGATTCATGAAATCTTTTGCTAAGCGAAACCATGATCACAGCAACAATAAAATCAAAATAAAAGAATTAGACAGCATTTATGTTCAGGCTGAGATCCTTTAGCTGCTTACTAATAAATTAAGGAAGTCAAGAGAAGAGGTCATACTTTCACATGACCTTAGAAGGTCACGTAGCACATACTTTATACAAATATCATGTGAAGTGGAGCCAACGTAGCACATTACTTTTTCTGAAGACTATTTTTTATACAGTAAATTTATATTTAAGTCCTCCTACCCTCAAATTTGTGTTAGTTGTTTTCACTTACGTGAAAGGAATGCTTTCTTAAAAAAAAAAAAAAAAGAAAAACAAAAACAAAGCACACCAACCCCCTCAGCTGTCATAGGTACTTCATTTCTTCGCCCAGCTCTCCCAGCTAGCATTACATTCCTCCACATATGCCCCCAACAGTGTTAGGCATAGGAGTGTGCATACAGACTTCTGGGTGCACCACCAACAAAATGATTTTAGGCTTAAAACAGGCTAATTGGCTTTCCAACTCTGGCTGATGCATTCAGAGAACAAACCAAGATGGAGGTACTTCTAATTATGCTCAACCTCTGAGGACGAGCCCAGTTAAAAAAGCAACATCCATCACACTCACTTTGCCACAAACTTCACAGCTGAAGAAATCTGCTGTGATGAGGCACAGCATGCTGTAAGCCACGCACAAAATCAGAACTTACACGACCATCACAGCACAGCTCTTGTTGATGAAGCGTCTCCTACTACCTAATGAGCGGAGGTTCACTTCACAAGGAGCATTAAACTGAAAGTTAAAGTGCTGAAGGTGGATGGAGGGCTGCCACCTCGGTGACACCCTGAAGGAACGCCTGAAGGCATAATCCTTGTTTTAAGGAATCGTCCCCTCTGAGAACACCGAGGTCTGTTAGGGAGCCACTTACAGCAGCAAACCGAAGCATCAGCACTGGAGCTTCACCAATTTTGCCCCATTTTAGAACAGCACTACAATAAAAATAAAAATCTTAAGAGATAACTTCCCTCCAGCACATCCTCTTCAGCGACTGACACTCCAAAAAGTGACCTTAGTGGCTGAAGGCAGGTCCCCGGCGCCCAGCTACACACCCTACACGGCCGGGAGCCGCCTCACGACGGGCCCGGCCCGGCGGCTCCGCACCCGCGGGGCTCGGCGAAGGGCAAAGCACCGAGGCGGCCGCCTGCTCCGAGGCGGTCTCGTCCCCGGAGGGGGGCGAAGGACGGGGCAGCACCGTGGAGATTTTCTCCTCGCCCTCCTCCCCGGCGCGGGAAAGAAGGACGAAGAGGCGATGCCCTCACGGGGCCAGGCTCCAGAAAAAGCCCCGTCCGCTTCCGCGAGGCACGGGGTACCTTCCCGGCCAGGCCCGCAGGCGGCGAGCCGCTCCGGCGCGGCGACCCGCAGAACGCGGCGGTGGCCTCGCGTCCTACCTGAGGGCTGCGCGATGGGCGGCGGGGCCCCGGCGGGCATGGCGGCGGCGGGGAAGAGGCGCGGGGACGCGGCCGGTTACCTGAGGCCTCCCGCGGCAGCCGCCATCGAGGGGGAACCCATGTCACAGCGACAGGAACCGCGTCGCGGCGGCCCGGCCCCCTCCCGGCGGCCACCGCCTCCCGCCCCGCCGCCACCGCCCACTTGGCCCCGCTCCTCCCGTCAGCCCCCGCGCTGCCACCGCCCTTGGAACCGGCGTCACTCCCAGCAACGGCCGCGAGATCGCGAAGAAATAAATAAGCGAGGAACGCTGCCGCCGGGACTGGCTGCCCCGCTACAGGAAGCGGCCGCCATCTTGAGTGATGGCAAACTGCCTCGCTCGCTGTAGGTCGGCCATCTTGGACGAGGGGTGAGACGGCTGGCAGGAAGGTGAGGCTGCGGCTGCCATGTTGAGTGAGGGCAGCCCGACAGGATCTCGGTGGTGCCGCCTTATGAGGTGGTTTGACTTCTAATTCTTGAGGGCTAGGGTAACGCTTTTTTGCATAGGAAATTGTTTATCGTAAGATTTTGCTCCTTTGAAGTTTACGGGGAAGCAGTCTGATCCTGTATTTATGATCCCACAATCCTGTTTTCAAATCCGTCTCTGGAACAGACGGGGCGATCACCGTTCCACCTTTCACGTCTCTGTGTGACCAGAGGGTAAACATCTTGAACTTCAGAGTCTGCAAGCCACCTGATCCCGGGGGAGTCCCCAGGGCCTGTCTGCGTACAGCTGAAACCTCAGTTCTTAAGCGTCGGGATCTGCCAGAGTTCCCTCCTTCAAAGAGTAGGTTGGTACAAATTTGTTTCTGGAAAATGAGATTCTTAAGTGCATACATCTAGTGGCAAGGATACGTGCAACATCAGCCAAATCGTGCTGTAGCTGAACTGGCTTTCTCAAGCTTGTGTTTTCATGGTTTTGTTAGCTTGTGAGTTGTGCAAGCTCTGTAGAAAGTAGTAGAAACACGATAAATAAAGCATGCAGGGAAATACTGTGTTCTTTATACTTTTTTTATATGCTTTTTTTTTTTCTCCCAAGTAGACAGTGGTTTGACCACACAGATGAAAGAACACTGACAGCAAAAACACTCAGTAAAATCACAAGAAATAATACATTCATGCTTCTATTCCTCAAGTGTGTTGTTGTTTTCTATGACCTGTTTACATGGTATTGGTAAAAAGCATTAGAACTGCAAACACATCAAGTATTTAAAAGTGAATAATATTGCTTTAAATAAAGTGCAATGCCTGCTACATTTACTGAACACTGCAGTGGTTAAATCATACTAACAGATTATTATATTTAAATAGTGTATAAATATAACTTGTTCCTATGGAGGTTTGAGCATGTATTTAGGCAGTTTTCCTGAGGGAGGCATAAAAGGGGGTTATACATAGGGTGTTTCATGTTTGAGATAGGTTTGTGAATAAAAATGTCTTGAATACTCCAAAGAGTAATTATAATTAATATGCTAATTTAATAAGTCACATGAGTCCTCTAAGAAGCATGGGAGAACTATATTGTTAATACGCTACTTCAGTTGCATTAGGAATCCTGCTACAATAGCTGAAAACAATCATAGGTGACTGTTAAAAGAGGCTGTGTGACTTCTATTTTGCCACCTGGTGGCTGTTTTTTCAGCTTTTTTTCAGCTTAGCATCCAAAACGGTGTGAAGTCTGTGCTGACCTGGCAGGACAGGAAAAAGCAACAAGGGAGCTGGGAAGTAAGCAGTGTAGCAGTCAAAGAACTTTGACCTTCAGCCAATATGTAGCACCATGGTATACAATTGTAAGGGTGGAGAGAAGAATCTGTAAAAGAAGAATGTTTGTTAAGCACCTGATAAACTAGGTCAGTTCTTCCCACATCTGGCAGCAGGCTTTAAGTTGCAAGGGCCCAAAGTATATTTCAGTTTTCCATATCAGTTGTGTTTGGTTAGTGGCCACTGGCTGTTGAGTGTTCACCACCTTTACAGCAACATTGTAAATAACATAATTAGAGGAGTTAATTTTGTAATTATCTTCTACAACTGGTGTGAATGAGTATACTAGATAAACACTGTGCCCTGTGAAAACCTGAACAGCAACCTGAGCCCCAGCACCCTAAAACAAATGTAAAACCCTTTTGTGGAAAAATCCAAACCCACAAGCCTAATTGCATGACAGGAAGAGAGCTAGAAAGATTGGCAGTGTCAGTAAATGAGGTCCTAGAATAGAAGGAAAATGGTTAAGTAAAATTCCCAGATGATTTGAGGAAGTGAATCATATCCTAAGCTACAAGGAAAGGCAGAAAATCTGTCCAAATGGTCTTTGCCAGTTTGACCAGAGGGAAGCTTCCTTCTGTTTCTTGGTGATATTCAGTAGTTCCTAGGATCAGAAGCTTTAATGGGTGTGCAGTTTTGCTTCTGTACAATTCATTTAACTTGAACCCAGGATCAGATGAGAGGTAAGTGTTCCACATGAAAAAGTGAAGGTGATCTTTACTTAGGCATGGAGTGAATGATTGGCAAGGTGTGTGGGATTTTTTTAGTCACTCTTGCATAAGCTTTGCTGATTGAGGGAGATTACATTTACTGACGAAGGCAGACTGACTCTTTATAATAGCATTAGCCATGTTAAGTGTTTGCTATGAAGTGAAATCCATTAATTACAACACTAATTTCAAGGTCATGTTTTCCATGTAAGAAAGTTTCCTCTACAGAACTGTATGGATTATGGACACTATGCTATTTGAATGTTAGTCTTGAGTGATGTTCTACAAATCTTCAAATATTTTAAGAGTTGTTGGTGGTTTTTTTTTTTAGTCTTATCTTTAGTCTTTCATATAATTTTTTTCCAGCATAGAAAGGAAACGTAATCTTGAGATGTTCGTCTCAATGTGAAGCTTCTTTTACATAGTGCAATGGAAGGTTTAAGCAGGTGGGACTAACCTTGTTAACTCCAAGGTCTGGTCTTAGCAGCAGGAGCAAAGCAGCTTGATCATGTGCTGCTGCTGAATCCTGAACTGTCAGCAGAGGGCGCAGCACTACTACAAGTCTTAGCTGGAAAAGGGAGTCTGGGAACGCCAAGGTGATTCAGGAAGACTCTCCCAGAAACCATTGTGTTCAGCAGACTGGTTCGGGAATTGAGGATAACAGGGAGGACTTATGATCTGCAGCCACATTCTTCATAAAACTCGGTTGTTAGCAATTCTGAAGAAAATTGAGTGTTTGTTGGGAAATCATGTAGCTTTCTATTTTACATTTTGGAGTTTAGTATGTAATTCCTAACTGTCTTTTGGTTTTAGTATACACTATACCACTTTTACCACTATGTGCAGAGTATCTTCTGAAAGATGTTGTTTTGCTAGCAGTGTTGTTTTGTTTTGTTTTATTTTTATTTTTATTTTTATTTTTTTTTATAACTTAGTATTATTTTCTTATTTGCAAAATATGTACAGTACAACATGGCTCCTGGCAGTGAAAGCTTTTTCTGATTTCACTGCCTAGTGTATGGGGAAGTGGCTTGCTCTAATCAAAGACTTATTCAAGTCTTTAAACTTCAGACAGCATGCTTCCTTCTTTGCTGAGGCTGGCAGTGCTGTAGATCAGAAAGCAGACGTTCTGTTTCCTGAGAAAATTTGGTGCTTGATTTTTTTTTCTTTATTTTTTTTATTCACAATTAAATCAGACACTTGAAGATTTGAGGTTACCTACAGAATTAATTTAAAATGTTATTCACCTGCAGGAATGATTTCATTTCACTAATGTCTTTCATCTGTGCTATTGTTAGTATAATGCTAAATAATTTAACATCTTTTTCCTGTGGAAATGATTTTAAAAAGTAGAAAATCAAGCAGATTGAAAACAGGAAATGAAGGCATTGCATTTTGTCCTCACAGAATGTTTTGATTTTTTTTTCCATCCCCATTTGAAACTGAATAGGCTGTGAAATGCTTTTAATTCAGCAAAGCTGCATTTATAGCTGAAATAACCACTGCTACTACATTATCAAGAAGAAAGACCTTGTCTGATTGAATTCACCAATCAGCCTTGAAAGCTTTACGTGAAAATTGTTTGTGGCTGTGGCTTCATAAGGTGGATATTATCAAAGCTGTCTGAGTGAATAATGAGTCTTTTCCTCTGGCTTCTGTGTAGGCAAGAGTTAGTGACAGAAAAACTGTCACTGTTAGCTAACTTAAACAAAGCTGTGTATGAGGATGCACTAAGCAGCTGTTACTGAACTGCACTGCTGATCTGTCCTTCAGCATCAAAAGGTGGTGAAACAGACCTGTGTGCAGTTGTTGCTTTTTACCTTACACAGTGGTTGGTGCCCTGAGATCCATCCAGAATCAGTGCGAATTTCCTGGCTCTTCCACATGACAGTGCAAGCCTCTTCTCTGTATTCAGGAAGCCAGTAGTACTTCTTGGTCCCAGGGCATCTCTCAACTACAATGGGGATCCCCTTGTGAAGAGCCCAGCAGCTGTACCCTATTTGTCTGTGAGCTGGCTATGCAGCAAGGAATTTGAGGATCCATGTTCCCTGCACTTCAGACAGTGCCTCAATTCTTGCTCTGTGTTGTCTTGCCTCTCTTGTAACGGTGAAAGGAATTTGCTGAGCCTGGCCTCCCCGTGCTGGGAGTTAGCTATTAGGACTCCTCCTGTGTGGCAATCCCTGTTTCTCCTGGGGCTGTAATACTTCTCAAATCTCTTTAGAGATTTCTGAGGGACTCTTCAGAATGTTTTGAATGCCTGCATCTTCTGTATCACTGCTAATTCTGTTAGCATTGACCTGTGGGCAAGTAAAATAATTAGGCACTCATTTAGTTTGTTTTAGGTATTCTACAGGTGCCTTGGGTTTTCCCAGATCTGCAAGGGACTGCCTCCATTTGTTCTAGATTTAATGGCATAAAATACAGAGCATATCACTGTTGCTTTACATGCAACACACAAAGACTCTGGAGTGCATGTTTGTTACTGTATCATACAAATCACACAGATCTCCCTATCTATCTTTATTGGAGTCATAGTTACAAAAAGCTAGACGGCATTGCTACATTAGCAGCCCGATCTCTTGTGGCTCACAAGCCATTAAAAATCCCCAAATTGTCTTTAAAGAATTCCAACTGTGTTAGATACAAGGAACCCTATGTAGTTACAGAAAGGGGGGGGGAGGGGGATGGAAGAAGAAATGGCAGTTATATCAGGTGGGCCTTAGAAATCTCCCATATCCAAAGGGCCTGTAGGTTCTTTCATTTTTATCTCAGGCTTCTTTGAGCAACGATAGCATTGAGGACACTCAGTACTGGTTTTGGGAAGTATGGGGTTTTGTGTTGTTTTTGTGTATGATTGTGTGTGTGTGATTGTGTGTGTGTGTGTGTGTGTTTTGTTTGTTTTTGTCTCTCAAGGAGCTCAATTCTAGATCTCAATCATGTTTTCAGCTGTTTTGGAGCCTTCAGTGAACTCTGAGAATCACGTTCTTTCCACATGAATGCTATCCAGTGGATTAACCAGGTCATGAATGTCAAACCAGCCTCATTCTTCCTGCCGTGGTTTACACTACATCCTCAAAGTAGCAGAAATTAATGATACTAGTGAGGTCATACTATGCACCTGGTCTCTACCTAGTTATATATGTAATTCATTAGCAGTATAAGCAAAACATATTTTTATGCATTTCAGTTTCAGTTCATTAAGGTTTCTGAAGAGAGTCAGTAGGAAAAAAAACCAAAGTTCTCAGAAGAGAATTCAAAATTATTCACTTAACAGCAGTACTTTGTCTTTAAGAGGCCTGGCTTGTGAATTTTGTTCAATT